CGTTAATCCAACCCATCTACCAGCTCATCTTGTAATCTCATCCATGCTTTGGCATTGTGCTAGGGCCATGTGTAGTTGTTATGAGAGATTTCACACAAAAAGAAGAATGGACTCGTAATATTCATAATCCACATTTGCTTGTAGGGGAGAGCGGGGCCAGTTGAACCACTTTTTATATATTGATATTCACAACGAGATCTAGTTGTCATATCAAAAAATGAACAATACCAGGAAAAAATATATTTTCGACTTTATTTTAAGATATGTGAAATTGTGTTTCAAACACATTTTGCTGTTAACGCATGCTTATAAAACAGCTCTACGACTGTTTCAAATGACCCCGATGCGAGGGTCAATTGAACCAGCCCATGGGGTCAATTTCACCTATATGCTTAACAATGAGATGTTGTCATCTTTAAGGCCACTTTCTTAAAGTCCATGTGGCTAATGACGTAAGATATGGTCGTTCTATGCTTAAGTAATTAGCCCTCGCCCTGGCAGCATTATTCATAACGCGGCCTGGCAGGGAAGGGGGTCGATGCGACCCCCTGGCGTTTCGAACCTAAGCGTCGTAGCGCTCCGCAACAAAGCCCAGTCGATTGCTCTCAACGAGAACTCGCGATTGGTGGTATATTTCTTGACCCTAGGTCAATGTGTAACCCAGATATGGCAGATTAAGCGCCACATTTGGGGGAAAAGCTATAATTTTCCAAGCTACTTAGCCACTATTGGCAAATCTATTAACCCTATTAGTGGAAGGCTCCTGGCTACCCCTATTAGTGGCAGGGGGGCTGTTTACGACCCCCCCTTGATATCTCGAGATCTAACGGGCCGATTTTCAAAATTCAAACAGCATTTGATTTCGCTCAACGTGATCTACATTTCTAAAAAATAAAAATTAAAAATGTAAATAGGGGGTAGAGGGGGGTAAAAACGGGCAAATTGCAGATACAGTTTAGACTGTTTATCACAGCCAGGTTTCTGAACCAATCTTAACGCAACTTTTGCCGATCGATAGAGAATGAACCAGGAATTCACATGGATCCTAAAAATATGCATTTTCAAAAATCATAGGCGGATACAGATCATTGAGATTGGGGGTACGCAAAAAGTATAGTAAATAAGGTTTTTGTTGGTACTGTTTCTAAAAAGGGTGGTAATGGTCTTGTTATGTTACAATTTTCTTATGAGAGAAGGACTACAATTGTATTGGTCATGCAAAGGCGGTGTCAGGGCACCTATGTTGGGAGGTAAAACATAACCCCCCTTTTTGGACGCCTGGATCCGCCTATTATAGCAAAAACGTGTCAAAAGAGGATGCACAATAACTTTGTATATGTTATCACATGATACCTTTCATTCACTGTTCGTAAAACTGGTGCATACAGTTATAATACATCAGCATCGTGATCTTCGCCCAAATGACTCGCTTCACGAATAGGACCCCCGAATTCCCAGTGCTCTGGAGCCGCTCCTGGTAAAGTTATGAACTTGAAATTTTCAGGGAATGTGCCCAATTTAGTTTTAGAAAAAGTCAGAAAATTTCAGCATCGTAGCTTCAGCGGTTTCGGAGATATTCCCGAAAAACCTGAGGGGTGGATGAAAACAACCCCTGCCACTAATAGGGTTAAAGATAGCGACATGAAACTTACACGACCGTGTTTCTCAACGAATTAGCAACCAAAAGATGTACAATTGACTACATTTCAGTCATTACTGACGTGACGTAGTCCCTGGGAACACGGGAGGTCACACCCGCCGCCGGCGAGGACGGTTGTTATTGATGTGGGTTGACCTTGTAAAGGTCAAGGAACAGTTTTGAGGGCGTTTAGGTGAAAATTGAGCCACGGATTCGGATTCAGGAACTCAAGAAAGCCCACTAAATACAGCTCATAACATGGAGGTCACCGTGTGAACATGCGAGTTCATTGACCTTAGTTGACCTTAGAAAGGTCAATAAACAATGTTAAGATTCATGCCCTGTCAAAAGCTGACATAAACCACACGGAATAGTTTCGCTCTTGTCAATGAGATCACGTCCAGTTATGCGGAATGTACGATTTTGTCAAAACGGTCGGAGGTTGTACTATTGGTCTCAAGATAAGGGCCCAGGCGACCTGTTGTTCGGATGCGCTGAATACCCTCGCCCTCGCCACAACTCGAGTGGGGGGGGGGGTGCTGGGTGTGGGGGGGGGGTGCTGGGGGGGAGGGTTGCACTCGACCCGAGTTGTGGCGATAGTAAGGGTATTCACCGCAACAAAACTACAGGTCGGCTGGGCCCTTATCTTGAGACGAATAGTATCTATTATGACGTCATAGCTCTGTGACCTGACATTACCAAAAAATAATGTTTACCCACAAGTTGCTGAAAGGATGCCGGAGAGGCTAAGAAAAATTTCAACGCGATCCAACTGATAGTTCGGCGCTCATCGCAAAAAAACCTAGGGGGAGGGGGGATTGCATCGACCCTCCCCCGTCCGCCAGGGCGAGGTTAAGACCAAGATCGGCTCAGTACCTAGGTACCAAGGATAGGCCATTTCACTCGGTTTTAGCTTACGTAGCACATCATCAAAATCAGCGCAACAAAGATGACATTCACGGGTCACCGGATTGTCAAAATGTGCCAAGCAGCGAGTAGCGAAAAATGAAAAAAATAGCGAAAAATGAATAGCGAAAAATAAAAAATTAGGCGTACCCAATCATGACAACAACTGTTGTGGATATCACAGTGGAGACATTAGCCTTTTTCACGACGGCCATCTGGTACACATTTGGTGCACATCTGGTACAGATTAGGTGCAGATTTGGTTAAATCAGGTTCAGTGTGTCTCTCAGCAGCTATTAGCTAGGGTCGCACTAATTGCTTATATGCCTACCTTGGCATATTATCAGAGAGCATCATCGATTAAAACACTTAAATAAATTCATAAAATGAAGATATTTGCTGTATATAAAAGAAATAAGGTGCAGATTTGGTCAAATCAGGTGCATTCGCCGGATAGCCCGTCGTGAAAACGGCTAATATTTCACGCGCGAGGTCCCAAATGGTTTGAAGGACATCATGCCAGAATTCACATACCTACAACAAGTAAGTCATGAACAATAACGGTAAGACGATTGGAAGGGAGGATCGGGAGATGACAAACACACAAACAAGCAAGACATAACAAATATAGCGATCCGTACCTACTCCGCCATACTAGCGCATCAAGGACCAGGAGGAGGTACATATGTGTGCTTAGGGTAGGTTTGAGCTCGCGAATGATAGGGATTCCATGATCTTTCAATCTGGGCAGCTCTGGATTCTATGTGAATTGTGCTATGGCAACGTACAGTCCACAGCAGAAGTAATGTGGGGTTTCAGTCATGGGTATGTTCTGCTTCTGAAGCTTAGGAACGATTAGCCAGACTACAATGAAACTTTGAATGTAGCTTATATGTATCGTCACCCTTGCAGCTGCAACTTTAGCTATTGACATCTTCTTTTTGATCACTCCGCATTAAACAATCGCCAGTCAAAGCCAACCGTTGAGATTGGTAAAACCCGACATTACTTTAGCGGTGGGCTGTACCTACATTGTATTTATTACTTACCTTTCGATAATGCAAACTTTGCTGTTGGCATCATGACATTTGAAAAGTAGTATTCACGACACACAATTCATATTCACTCAATATTGATGCATAATAGGTATCCTTAATTTTGTTTTGTTCAAGGTAACTGAAAGCTCTTTACCATTATTGCCTTTGCATCACATTTTTGTTTGTCTTACCATATGCTTTGGCATTCATGCCTTCTTGTGCAAAAAATTCATGAAAGCATTAGAGCACATACCTATGAGCTATGATTCCAGTGGATCTCTCGACAAAATTGGGGAGTTGGATCTATGATCCGAATGGATCTCCAAAAAAGTGATGGGTCAGATCTATGATTCCAGTCGACCTCTCGACAAAATTGAGGGGTTGGATCTATGAACCGAGTGGATCTTAGATCCAGATCCATGGCGGGTCTCAGATCCATTTTCCCGGATCCGTGCGCATGCACATGCCTATACGTTATGTGTTCAACGCTGATATATTCACTACACCTTAGTATACGCTTTTGCACGGCCAATTCTGAAGATTCAGGACCAAACCTGAATCACTTCGTGCCGGTCGATCGAGCCGAGCGGACGTGCGCCAATTTTGTCTCGTGAAGACTTGGGTGTGGTCGGTGTGGTGATTTAGTGGTAGGCCGAGGATATTATAGGATTAAAATAGTTTTTTTTTGTCTCAAGGCTATTAGAATTGTTAACGTAACCTATGACTAGAGTTTAGACTTCTCACTTTCAAACCATTACTTGTTTGCAGTTCAGCATAAAGTAAAGTAGCATCTGCGCATAGAGGTGCCATGGAGGAAGGGGATGTTAAGAGACTTATTCAGGAAGCTGTTAAGGAGGTGACTAGTGAGATGGAGGGAGAGATGAAAAAATCTGGGAGGAAAACAAAAAAAAACTATCAGTAGAGTCTCATAAATAATTGCCTGCGCTGATTTTGTCGTTCAGTCAGTACCTTGACGCTGATTAAATATTCCTTGCTGTCGAGCTCCTGCTTGAATATGGCACAGCACTTTGTATGTACAGGGCGTTCCAGGGTTCAACGAACACTACTCATCACCAGGGCTGCGGAGTCGGAGTCGGAGTCGGAGTCGGAGTCGGTCGGAGTCGACAGTTGTGACCGGAGTCGGAGTCGGAGTCGGAGTCGATTTTAGAAACCCGAGCCGGAGTCGGAGTCACCGACAATCTGTCGACTCCGCAGCCCTGCTAGGTCTGCGGAGTCGGAGTCGGGAGTTGGAGTCGGTCGGAGTCGACAATTCTGCCCGGAGTCGGAGTCGGAGCTGGTTTTTGAAAGCCGGAGTCGGAGTCGGAGTCGGAGACGCCGAAAATCCATCGACTCCGCAGCCCTGCTCATCACTAATCTGCGTAACCCCCCCCCTCCCCCCGCCTGGTCGTCAGAGTTAGGAGGAAGAGCCTGGCCGGACGACGGGCTCAAAACCCACCAGCCCCCACTGTAACTCACATTCTTCAAGTCAGCACGTTCCGGCACCATGGTCAGTCACGGTCAGGGGGCGTGGCCGGCCGCGGGCCCGTCCCGCCTCACACCGCCACCTACTTAAGGCCGCACCGACTGTGGGAGAGCATCAGTTCCACACCGATCCCACTACAGACAACATGAAGCTGGTGAGTAGCACTCGAATGAAACCGCCGCTTGAACAGCTGTGTTTCCGTCCTAGAGCGATGAAGTGGCAGAGTTGCTTCTGACCTAATCGCTCTACATCATTGCTGATTGCTGATGTTTTGTAATTTTGTGGGCTGGATGGTAGAAGCCGATTACCTCTACCAGCAATCGATTATTTTTTCTTATCAATAATCAAGGTAATGCGTATTGCATGGGCCATAGTCAAAACAAGAAGAATGAACGCTGAGTTTTGTAAAAGCCGCTAAGCCGATAATAGGACCCCCGGTACGTTCACGTTTTTCATTTAAAAGTCTCGATCGTCGTAAGTAAAGAATCGTCTATAGCTTGTGAACCCTTCTTTTTTTCAGTTCATTGTCGCTGCTCTGGCCCTGGTGGCCGTCGCCGACCGGCCCCAGCCTTCCTACAGGCCCCGTCCCACCTACGCTGCCCCGACCTACGCTGCCCCGACCTACGCCCCGGCCCCGACCTACAAGCCCCAGCCCAAGTACGCTCCTGCCCCGTCCTACGGCCACTCGAGCTACAAGCCGATCGCTATCCTGGAGCAGGAGGACGTCCACCCCGGAGATGGCACCTACAGCTCCAAGTTCTCCACCGAGAACGGCATCTACAGGTTAGTGACAATCGAATACGCTATGATAAGTAGGTAAACATTATCGCAAAAATAAGCAAGAACTGATATCGGAATTGTGAATAATTAGATAGCAGTCATGTAGTTATAAATGCTTGCTGTTCTGTATTGAACTGAATGAATGCATAATTTCATTGGCGATTTTCTTCTTTCAGGTCCGAGTCTGGCGTGCCGGTGCCCGGCTACGGCAAGAGCGCCTACGGCGAGTCGGAGGACCTCTACCGCCAGGAGGGCTCCTGGAGCTACACCAACGGCTACGGCGATGAGGTCAAGGTCGCCTTTGTCGCCGACGAAAACGGCTACCAGCCGTCCAGCGACATCCTGCCCACCCCGGTGCCCACCGAGTACCCGACCCCCGAGGTGGACCCCGCCTACGTCGAGCCCCAGCCCAGCTACGGCAAGCCCGCCTACCAGCCGGCTTACAAGCCCGCCTATAACTAAGTCACCCATTCGCCATTTATGTTCGAAAAGTTACGCGCTGTGATGTTTCATCGGCCCTCAGCTATTTATTTATTTATATAAATGTGATGTGGTTTGTGAGGAGTGCAAAATATACATAATCATCGATATCTTCAGTAAGATCTATTTCAAAACCTTACACCATCAATCAACATGCAACATAAGTAAAGCACGATACTATAGTGTAAATGTACAAAATACCGAAAAGGATTGGGTGGCTTGGAGGATGAAGTCACAGGAACTCGTTGCGAGGTGATGGCTCCATGGCACTTCGCAATCTACAGGACGTCCTGACAGTTTGTGGGCACCATTTCAACGTCAATACCACATACAGAATCTGTCACATGCCTATGTTATGAGTTAAATGCCGATCTATTCACCACCAAATCACTATACGGTTTCACGGCCGATGCTATACGTTAAAGACCAAACCGCACAGCAGAGCTTCAGAAATAATTGCCTTAGCCGATCTCGTCGTTCCGTCAATATTTTGGCACAATAAAAGACTCTGTGCTGTCGAGTTACTGCTAGAAAATGTCCGCAAGCTCTCTATCCCGCTGACACTGGGGGATATCTCCGGCCACATCTTCTACTTCTTCCAGAAAGCCGACAAATTGTTGCGCACAGTTGATAAGCACTGCTAAGGTATCATCAACCGAACTCTTTAACAACTTTGTTATGACACTTTGTGCATGGCGTGTCCCAGAATTGACCGAACATTATTAATCACTAATCAGCACATAAACTAGGGGAGAGTGGGGTAATTTGGCCGGTGGTGTAAATTGGCCGCCCCCACCTGTACGATGTCTAATAAAAGTGGGTGAAATAACTCTAGTCTCTATTCATTTGTCACGGGTAGAAATAACTGGAGGACAAATGCCAAAAATTAACCCCTCGTAGTTTTATTCAAAATTAATAAAACGTTAATTTCATTAGAAAACGGTAACTTTTACTTCTGTATACAAAGTTGTATAAAATGTAGTATTTGGGCTAAAAATGAATTCAGACATTATAGCGCCATTCTTGGGGGTGTTCAGCGGTTACAAGAGCAATTTCATCTAATTCCGTATAGCCGTGATGACTTTATAGACAAAAATTTTCAGAATGGCAATATGGGGTAATTTGGCCGGGACTAGCGGGGCAACTTGGCCGGTGCGCTCATGGTCACTATGCTGGGACGGCCGAGTTTTTATGGTCAATTGTATTATAAATGACATGAATCATGACCAACTTTGACTACAGGGTGTCCCAGAATTACCCGGACATTTATTTTCTGGCTAAAAGTACGATTGCGCTCGATTCTAATGATATACAAGCATCATACTTTTATAAGATATCCCTTAGCTATCGAGCTTGGGGACTGTGTGCTTTTGGTGACCGGCAACGACTCGAGTCAAGTATTATCCAGAGTCAAGTAAGAGTAGTCCTTTTCCGTTTTCAGCTTAAGCCACTAGTAGGCAACCATGGTGAATCAACTCCCTTTTTCAACTTTGTAAACGGACTTTCGGCGTGGTTTTTGCTGGAGAGCTTCAGCAGCTCATCTGCAAGCAGTTAGAATTGAGCAAAGCGCAATTACGAGTATATCAGCTAACGAAGCCAGAGAGAGCAAGAGATAAACCTGATTGACAAGCTTGGGCTCGGCCAAAAAGGGTCATGCACCAGTTGTCAAACGGGTGGTTGCTTGTCATGGACAACAAACGTCACTGATCTAGCTAAAAACTATCTAAACGATAGATCAGGATTATCTAAAGAACATCAGTCTACTTTCCACCACTATCTTCGCAAAATTTTGGAATTCGGGGTCCTCGCCTGAAAAAATATTCGAAAACTACGGGAAAAGCAGCGAAAATCACTACAATTCATCCCAAAAATATAACATATACAACAAAAAATTATATTGAAGCACACTTTGTGGTCTAACGAAGGTATTCTGTCATTTGAACCGCCCGGAAAAGGCGTGTGTGAACGTCAGATGGCTACAACGTCGAAAATCAAATTGTGAGATATTTTGAGCCACCGTGCACTCATTGGGCTTGATATAATGGCCCAAAGACAACCGTTAGCACAGAGTACTACTGCGGTAATATTCTACCAGTAAAAAAAACTGGATGCCGTAAACCAAATCGCCATGAACAGGTTTGTTTTGGAAACCAAATCTGTTGGAAGCCAAAGGTCCCGCCATGCTCAGACATGGAGCTTCTCCACTTCAGATGTAAAAAACGCGGCAAAAGTGGTGTAGGCAGCAATTTTAGTTTTGGGGGATAATGCCTTATGACCTGGGAACACTTTGATGTTAAGTTTATCTTATATGATCGTATTATCATCCGGCAACAGGTCAAAGAAAACAGGCCTTCACCCAGTTTCGGGAGAGCCGTAAAACAACTGAGACCAGCAATGGCTCGCATTTTCAATCATTGTCGGCTGATCTTGTAACAAGCGTATCTATTAGGTACATGTGCTATGTCACAGCCACCCTAGTTGACTATATAGGACGATAAAAAGAAAAAAGCGCAATCATGTTTGCCTTATTTTATACGCTAATTAACAATGTCCGGGTAATTCTGGGACACCCTGTACTTTGATGCCTTACTTCCAATTGGTCAACTGTAAGAGCATGTGACGTCATCAAAGGTTACCAAACGTTTTTTGCTAATAAATCCTTACATAAAAATGGTTCAGCCGCACAAATGGTCTCATTCTGTTCAGCTCGCCAAGGCGCATCGAATGATATGCATGATGACCTTGAAATCACGTGACCTTGAGGTCAAGCGACCTGATGTAACGTGACCTGAGGTCAACCTTTGACCTTGACTTCTCAAGGTCAACACATATATCTTTCGATGCGGACTGACGAGAGAATTACGATGGCACTCGAAGTTTTGGCCTAGCTTGATTACTTCAAAAGTTATTCGTAAAAAACTGTCTTCGCATCTAGAACCGCTAATTTGGCTACTTTGACCCCTGTGACCCCTGAGTCAACCTTCCAAATGCGGCAAATGCGTCATAGGACACACGTCATTGCTGAATCTGAAGCTGGCTCGCAATATAACAGAAAATCCCGACCGCAAACTAACACCGGCCAAATCGCCCCACACCCCCGGCCAAATAACCCTGCTAGTGGGGCAATTTGGCCGCCTTGCAGACCTTTGCAATGCGTCACAATTTCAATATAAGTAATTACTCTATCATTTCAAGTTCACTGTCCAGTAAAGTAAAATGAATGCGACACCTGCCAGCGTTGAGAAAATGCAGAAATATGTCGTCAATTATAAGTTATATCGTTTTCTAAAAAAGCGGCTAAATTACCCCAACCTCCCCTAAAGAAGACATGACTGCAGTTCCTTCTTTTGATCGTCCGGTTAGTCCATCATTGGCAGCTACAAAACGAAGCATTTAACCCTATTAGTGGCAGGGGGATTGTTTTCATCCACCCCTCAGGTTTTTCGGGATATCTCCGAAACCGCTGAAGCTACGATGCTGAAATTTTCTGACTTTTCCTAAAACTAAATTGCGCACATTCCCTGAAAATATCAAGTTCATAACTTTACCAGGGGCGGCTCCAGATCACTGGGCATTGGGGGGTCCTATTCGTGAAGCGAGTCATTTGGGCGAAGATCACGATGCTGATGTATTATAACTGTACATATGCACCAGTTTTACGAACAGTGAATGAAAGGTATCATGTGATAACATATACAAAGTTATTGTGCATCCTCTTTTGACACGTTTTTTCTATAATAGGCGGATCCAGGCGTCCAAAAAGGGGGGAGGTTATGTTTTACCTCCCAACATAGGTGCCCTGACACCGCCTATGCATGACCAATACAATTGTAGTCCTTCTCTCATAAGAAAATTGTAACATAGCAAGACCATTACCACCCTTTTTAGAAACAGTACCAACAAAAACCTTATTTACTATACTTTTTGTGTACCCCCATTCTCAATGATCTGTATCCGCCAATGATTTTTGAAAATGCATATTTTTAGGATCCATGTAAATTCCTGGTTCATTCTCTATCGATCGGCAAAAGTTGCGTTAAAGGGACTATCCCACCTTTAACATGGGATTTGAGTTGAGATAGCCAAGTTTGCGGCGAGGTTCAGAAACCACTATCTATCTAGGTAGCACCCCCGCGGCCTCTTGGTGTTGAAGAAATTCGTTCCCTTCATTTGAAAATGGGCCTTGTACAAGGCCCTATCTTCAACATGGAGCGACCGTTAGTGTGACGTCACCTCGTTTAGTCATTCTGATTTAAATGGGTTTGTTCGTTGAAAAATCGCTTAAAACTTGGTCTGAACTTTGTTGTGGTGCCTACAGAGTAAAAAGAATCAGCTTTATGACAGTAATGTGGCCTGGGGAAGGAGGTAATTTTGGGCTGTGACGTCACATATTTGAAAGTTTGTGTTTGGAATATGGGAAGCCTAAGATGTTTAATGAAAAATAAATGCCAGAACCGTGTTCCTGGTCATCCAATCTATAAAGTCGGGCACAATTTAACTGGTTTTAACAACATTTTAGAAGGTGGGATAGTCCCTTTAAGATTGGTTCAGAAACCTGGCCGTGATAAACAGTCTAAAATGTATCTGCAATTTGGCCGTTTTTACCCCCCTCTACCCCCCTATTGACATTTTTAATTTTTATTTTTTAGAAATGTAGATCACGTTGAGCGAAATCGATTGCCGTTTGAATTTTGAAAATCGGCCCGTTAGATCTCGAGATATCAGGGGGGTCGTAAACAGCCCCCCCCCCCCCTGCCACTAATAGGGGTAGCCAGGAGCCTGCCACTAATAGGGTTAAAGGAAATAGTTCACTTTCCTGAAATTAGTATTTTGCTATGGATTTATGATTTTTTATGCTCATAATGATCAGAAAATAAAATAAAACCTTTCTGTAAAAACAATTATTTTCTATATTTTATTACAGGAAGAACTATATTATACGTAGAATAATGTTTTGACGCGGAAGCTTATTGCGCGTTGACCAATCACTTTGCATTGTTCAAACCTACGCATGCTGCATTGGCTGTAAGCAGCATGCTGATTGGCTGACGATGACGTGACTGCATTCCTTTCTAAGACACCACCAGACACCACATTCCTGCCTAAGACACTCTTTTTGGAACGGGAAATTGAATATTTTTGCTTAGGGTGATTGTTGGGCCGTAAAAGCTTATGATTTGTGCTAGTCTCAGCGCAAGCTACAAGACTGTTGCTATTTCAGTTCAAAACCCATTATTAAAAGTGAACTATTTCCTTTAATCGACACAATGGCCACTGCCACTAGTTAAGCCATCGGATCAATGGAACGCCGTGCTGGTTTAAGTTGTTTTACGCGGCTCCACAAATTGACCTAAGCCACTCTTTCTTGACCTCATAAAGTCTTTCTTTTGATGGAATCAAAAGTAATATAAAGTTTACATGCCTAACATTAAACTTTATATTTCTTGACCTCTTGCCGGAGGACACTGCAAATATTTTCGACTGAATTGACATCCAAACTGTATACCTTCATAAAGCGTTCCCAAAAGAAGAAAAAAGAAATGCTGCTGTGCGTGGTTTTTGACGTATGAAGCGGAGAACCTCCATGCCTGAGCATGTTTGACCTTAGGCTACTACAAGCTTTTGTTTTCAAAACGGACCCGCTCATGGCCATTCGGTTCAGGGCATCAAGTCCATGCTTCGCTGAAATCTTGCCGCAGCAGTGTTTTGTGTTAAAAATCGCGTTTGGGATATCACATCACACATGAAGCTGAATGAATGCTCAGTGCACCTTGGCTCAACATTTCTCACACTGATTTTTGACGGGTATTTGGCGGTTTCTGCTATTGGGACGCTGTCGTCACCATCTGATGTTCACAGTAACACATGGCTTTTGTTTGAAATTCAAAGAGCAGAATATTGTAGGGCCATTACAAGGATGTGAGAAGCGCTTTGATAAATGCTTGGTTGATTGGCAGATTTGCAACCATGCGCACGGTGTTTGGCTTGTTGTTCGAGGCGATTGTCCCTAATCTAAAATTTGGTCGAAGTTAGCGGTGAAGATTAAACAGATTTTTAGTAGCAAGCCCTGGTCAGTCGTTTAGCTAGTTTAAGAAAGATTGGTGATGATAAGTGACGTTTGTTGACCATGCCATAAAAGCCATCCACTTAGCAACTGGAGCATGCTTCTTTTTGGCCGCGGTCAGGCTTGTCAAGCAGGTTATGCGTCTCCCTCGCTGGCTTCGCTTGCTAATATAACCATAGCGATCTTATATACATAATGTATATAAGATCTCTATGAATATAACTGCATTCCACGCATAGTCGACTACAGAATGATGTTCCACTTTTCACAGGCAATTATCTGGAGTGGTAGGCTGTGCCGCCTCACACGGGCTGAGTTCACAAATTATAGCTTTGTCCCAATGCTCACAATCGACACGTTTAATTGCGTGATAAGCGGCACAACTTAGCGCTCAGGTCAACTGATAGCTTCTGAGGAGAGGAACATCATTCTGTAGTCGACTATACCTAGCTTCTTGCAGATCAGCTGTATAGGAGCTCTACAACAAAAACAATACCGAAAGCCCAGTTACGAAGCTCAAAACTGCACTCGATTCACAATTATTTCCTTTTGGTGGTTTGGACTAAAAGCGATAACGGACTAATCTTTCCTAAATTGATATGATAACAGAAGAGTGACTCGAGTCTTGACCGGTTACCGATAGAGCACAACCTTCAAGCTTAACAGCTAGGAGATGTCTTACGAACGATGATGGTCGTATCCCATTACATACGATCGAGAGTGATCGTACTTTTAATAGAAAAGATATGCTGTTAATTCCGGGACACTACAACGTGTATTGTGCAGTTGTTACGTAGAGCAAGGCGAACCGATTATCTTTCCCCTCAGAGCAATCAGTGCATATAAGCATTACCCTTACATGTGTATGCTGGCTCAGTGTCTCGTTCATTTAATCTCGCAAACTTTTGTTCCCTTACCTTACTGTCATCGCCCAGCACACGATCCAGTCTCATTCTCACTCCTTCTTCGATCACATCCAATTACATGATTTATTTTATAAATTTATTGTTTGCTGCTCTGAAGAACAGACTTGTTTCCTACATTTGTGCCCATCAGTATGGACGTTACCACCGCCATGTGCAAGTGTAGTCCACGAAACTGTCATTTCTAAGATAATGGATTATAGTGATGTTTGTATCCCAAACATCGCTGTAAACAAAATGTTTGCGAGGTTCAACTACCCCGCAAATTTGGAGTTTCTAGCCTGGCGACGTACGAGCTAATCGTTAGCGAGGGGTCGTATCCCCTCGCAGGCCTCAAGAGTTATGTGAAAGAGCCTGGCCGAACGGGAGGCTCAAAACCCACCAGCCCCCACTGTAACTCACAGTCTTCAAGTCAGCACGTTCCGGCACCGTGGTCAGTCACGGTCAGGGGGGCGTGACCGGCCGCGGGCCCGTCCCGCCTCACACCGCCACCTACTTAAGGCCACACCGACTGTGGGAGAGCATCAGTTCCACACCGATCCAACTCCAGACAACATGAAGCTGGTGAGTAGCTCTCGAATGAAACCGCCGTTTGAACAGCTGTGTTTCAGTCCTAGAGCGATGAAGTGGCAGAGTTGCTTCTGACTTAATCGCTCTATATCTTAGCTCATTGTTGATGTTTTTTTTAAAGTTTGTGGGCTGGATGTTGGAAGCCAATTACCTCTACCAGCAATAAATTATTTTTTCTTATCAATAATCAAGATAAGAAGAATGAACGCTGACTTTTTAAAAGCCGCTAAACCGATAATAGGACCCGCGGTACGTTCACGTTTTGCATTTGAAAGTCTCGATCGTCGTTAAGAAAAGAATCGTCTACACCTTGTGAACCTTCTTTTTCAGTTCATCGTCGCTGCTCTGGCCCTGGTGGCCGTCGCTGACCGGCCCCAGCCTTCCTACAGGCCCCGTCCTGCCTACTCTGCCCCGACCTACGCCGCCCCGACCTACGCTGCCCCGACCTACGCCCCGGCCCCGACCTACAAGCCCCAGCCCAAGTACGCTCCTGCCCCGTCCTACGGCCACTCGAGCTACAAGCCGATCGCTATCCTGGAGCAGGAGGACGTCCATCCCGGAGATGGCACCTACAGCTCCAAGTTCTCCACCGAGAACGGCATCTACAGGTCAGTGACAATCAAGTACGCTATGATAAGTAAACAATATCGCAAAAAATAAGCAAGAGCTGATATCGGAATTGTGAATATTTAGATAACTGTCATGTGGTTATAAATGTTTAATGATCTGTATTGAACTGAATGAATGCATAATTTCATTGGAGATTTTCTTCTTTCAGGTCCGAGACTGGCGTGCCAGTGCCCGGCTACGGCAAGAACGCCTACGGCGAGGCGGAGGACCTCTACCGCCAGGAGGGCTCCTGGAGCTACACCAACGGCTACGGCGAGGAGGTCAAGGTCGCCTTTGTCGCCGACGAGAACGGCTACCAGCCGTCCAGCGACATCCTGCCCACCCCGGTGCCCACCGAGTACCCGACCCCCGAGGTGGACCCCGCCTACGTCGAGCCCCAGCCCAGCTACGGCAAGCCCGCCTACCAGCCGGCTTACAAGCCCGCCTACAACTAAAATACTCCAACTGTAATTGTGCCGTGTGCCGTGATTTGTGCTTGCAAGTCCTGCTTGTTCAATATTTATTTATTTATGTAATGTGTCCGTTTGGTTGATGCTCAAAATATACAAAACATAACGATACAATTAAACCTGAGTGTGTTGAGGAGCATGTCTGGACAAATCCAGCAACAGACAGTTCTGACTTCCACTAAAAAGCAGCTTATAGGGAGATGGTTAAAAAGGATGCAAAAAGTTTTATGATGAAATAGGAATTATATAAAAGAGGACATGAAAGAAGAATATTCATTGTTACGCAAGCTGCCTGATGCTGGAACTTTCATGCGAAAACGGGTCCACGATTCTATACATATAGTGTGGGATATCATAACTATAATTATATAGTGCGGGATTCTTCGAAATTTCAGAATCTATTTTTCGTGTAATGGCACCTAGGCAATAAAAATGCGCGAATCTGCTGACATTCGATATGCGAATTTCCTCGACTAGCATTAAAAGTTGATATTTGACACTCGCTGCGAGCTCTCTCATGAGGAACGTTATTTCTTATCTGAGGCGATAAAGCGGTAAATTCATTCCGTGTGGGTGAGAGGCCCGAATTTTGTTAGGGAGCGACTATTGCACATTTTCGGTTGTTTGGGAGTTTGAGATGCAGGTAGTTAAAAAAATGTAAAACGGGCGTCATGGAACATGAATCATATCGCTATCTGATGCAAAATGAAATATTACGAATAAAAAGAGTCTTTGAATGGCTTACAATTTACAAATGAAAACATAGCTACAAGAAATTATCTTTTTTAGGCTCTAAGGGAGCCTAAAGGTTATTATCAAACTGCCTTAGAGTATAAAATCCTCCGAAGATTAATATTGGCGAAGATTGGTAGACACCCGCTGACGTCATCTGTCAAGGTCACCGATGTAAGCAAACGGCTAACCATTCTACCTCCTATATACGGCCTTGGGTACAAGTGCCCCAATACGTTCATTCATGACTTAACATGAATCTTTCCCGCAAACCACTTTCCATTGCAACTAGTCAGCTGGCTAAGCATGTCCCAGTTCCGGCATGGTGCGAACTGCGAAATGGTGTGTTGCAGTGCATGCTCCTGAAGTTGGCAGATGGCCTCTTGCCATCACAGCATTATATTTACGTCTAGCGTCGTGCTGAATAGCATGTCGTGGATGAGCTGATTGGGCCCAGCGTGGTTTACTTATGAGTAACCAAATCTGTATGCATTGAATAACATAAAAAATATGCACACAAGATTGTGTTTGATTCAGTTAACCCGCGCATGACTGGGGGGATGTTTTTCAGCAATATCTTCTAAACCGTTTGACGGATCAACACGAAACTTGCGGTACCCTCAGAGGCATCAATTTGACACCTTGTGTTACAATTTCAACTTTCCAGCTACCATTGTTTAGCCGGAAATGACGTCAGAGTGACGTCATGTCGGCCGATTTTCATGCAAAATACTGAATTACGGCAAACGCTCTCAAGAGCTCAGTTTTAAAGCTAGATCCATTTTCTTTGCATGAGTGGACTACAAATACACGTAGCTATCGAACTGCTATCTCGAAGTTTCGAAATTCTGAAAATTTTGAAAAATATGTATTTACAATTACAAAAAATATATTGTTTGATTTTTTCAAAAAGTTTTTAACTTTTCGCAAAAACCGGAATATATGTGATAGAACACACACTGATGAACTACATTTGCAAGTTTTAGCCCAATATCTTCAAAAATAGCCAAGTTATTCGCATTATTGTCAAAATTTCACAATTATGTTTTTCAAATCCATTTTTTCAGTACGTTTTTGACGTCGTACAGCAATATAAATGGCACCATCGTCAATCGTGTTCCTGAGCTCAAACTGCATCTGATAGGCACCTTTTTTGTTGAAAAATTCATTTTCAAAATTTGACCTTTTCTGACTGAAAGTGACCTGACCTCCGGTAAATTCAGCCGACAATGACCTCAAATGACACAGACGACACTATTTTCGAAATCTACGAGTAAAATGGACCATAAAACATGCGTCACGTGACCGATACATGATATACAATTTTCGTGACCTAGGATGACCTGACCTTGACCTTAAAAATTCGAAGTATAAGTTCGGTACCCTCAGGGTATCTAAGGCACCCGTCAAGGAGTGCGTAAACCAAAAATGAGCCTGATCGGACCGGCGGTCCGGCGGTCAGAGCCTAAATTGTGAACTAACAAAAATGGCGATAATTTTTACTTTGACCTGACCTGTGACGTCATCGGTGACCTCGAGGTTAATGAAAAAAGGTTTCGCTTCGACAGTTTTTCCAGGGCTATCAGACGCCGTTTGAATTTTGACGATCGGCCCAGTAGTTTCGGAGATAGGAGGGGGGCTCTGGAGAGCCCCCCCCCCCCCACAGTCACTCGCGTTATGGAAAATACCCCAGCGGTCATACGCGGGTTAACCATACGGGGGGGGTGTTTGAACACCCCCCCCCCCCCTTGTGGTTTTTTGCATATCATCTCAAAAACGGCGGCGCGGAGCGCCGCCGTTTTTGGTACACCTTATCATACATCAATTCTACACATGTTGTGGAAATTTCAGACCAAGGTCATTCAAGGTCAGGTCACCAGGTCACTTGAAGTCACCTCACCTCATAAAAAGTTTCAATGTCTGTCATAGCTACACCGAGTGACCGATCGCTTTGAAACTTTCAGCGATTGCTAAGAGCAATAGCATGTACAAAATGCATATCTCAGAATTTTGATATCGATGACCTAAGGTCAGGCCAATTTTGCGACCTCCCCATTAATAAGTCAATGGGAGAAAATTGAAATGCGCCTCTTTTGGACGAAAGACATTATAAACACTCCCAAACACCGAATTACAAGTGTTTTAGACACACTGAACATGAAAATGGTGTCCGTGACCCTTGTTTATGCCCTGAGGTCATCTTAGGTCACGAATGGTATCTAACAGTTTTTCGCAAATAACTTTTGATAGAGGCATGCTAGAGCGATGAAAACGCCTTAGATGTGTTCAGCTCGACGATACGGATCGACTGATATGCAACATGACCCTTTCCGGTCAGACCTTGACCTGAGGTCAAATTTTTCAAGTTGACCTTTCAAGGTCAAGTTATGGTTCATTCGATGCGTCTTGACGAGAGGAACACGATGCCGGTGAAAGTAAGCTCGTACAAGGCTTGGGTCAAAAGTTATTGCAGAAAAACTGTTTCCGAAAAAATCGGCTATTTTTGCAGTTTTTGCCCCCTGCAGGCAAAACCGTTGAAGTTAGGTCAAATCTGAGATAATTACTCAGAAAGGGCGTTAATAGGGCTATCGAATGCGCTTTTCCGCGGCGCTGTAGCTCTATTGGTTCCCGAGTTATGCGTTGGCTTCTTGGAAATTTTCGACATTCGACCTGGAAATCGGCAAAATTTTGCCTTCAATGACCTCTGGTGACCTGACCTTTGAGCTGACCAAAAAATTGACCGAAGTGATTTCGTCATTATTTTTGACGCTCTTTCGAACGCCGCCTTCCGCGTATCGCTACGTGGCCCAGGAGCCGAGTTACAAGGGGGGTATTCAACCCCCCCCCCCCAGCAGGGCGAGGAAATCCAGGACCCCCCGCCGGGCGCGGGTTAAAGGGTCCTGATGTGATGCTATCCAGTATGAGCTGACGCTGTCCAGATGGACTGACCTGAAGCTTTCGGAGTATCCTGGCGCCCTGTCGGCCACCGGACTTGGGGTTGACGAACACGATGAGAGGTTTACAGCCTTCCGGAGGGTTGATTTGGAACGACATTGGTCCCTGAAAATACAGTACACGATAAGGGTCCAAAACTTTTATCTTATCACATGCAAGCTGGAGGCGCTTTCAATCACAAGGTAATAGGGAGTGTGAACAGCCCAGGGCTATCAAAAACTGTAGCTAGGCTCATTTGACCATGACACTTAGCTCAAATGAAGTAATCAACGGCTGCCAACTAAGAGAAATGTGTCGGTAAGGGCAGTCAATACCAGTCTCAATACGTGCAAAGGCTCGACACAGCTACCCAAAAATAAGTAAGTACTGTAAGGTTCAAGAAATAAGTTTAAAAAGAAATGCGAACTTGCAGATGGGTGTTCGTCCCCTCTGCACTCACATGCACGTCTTCCTGGCGCGTGCTGCGCCGATCTCTGCTGACAGAACGCTGTCGGTCGAGCACGATCGGACAGATGGCAGTAGGTGGCAGCACGTGCGAGCGCAGCTCCCCCAGGTTACAGTCGGGCTTCACCTGAGAGGCGCATCGGTTGTGCAGCTGAAAACAGAGAGCAGGTCAGAGAACATCCAGGAGAGTGAGCCGCCTTTAGTAGCTAGGAAGGGGGAAAAGAGGAGGAGGGAAGCACCTTGTAACGGGAGCCGAAATCGCCAGCTGCAAAAGAGGCCACTGAGCGGCAGGCAGGGGCGGAAGTTGGGACGCAGTTCGGAGGCACGAACCATTGGAGACATTTGTGTGCTAGCGCAGATGCTAAAAGTTAAGATGTATGTGATATCTGTATTTTAGAGGTAAAAATGGCCAGTACTCAGCCAGCATAGCTGTTGCGTTTGCCGTTTAATAATATTCGCAAAACCTTGCATATGATCTTTTTCATAGGTTAAACTCAACATGACTTACAAATATAGTGCACTGGCACTTCATTTTAGGTAGTTTCTCTCCCCCATGCTGCTACTTACACTCATTTGACACCAGCGGCAGTGCAGACCCGTGATACCGTTGTACGCTTTTATCGTTTTCTTGCACTTGGAGCACTTGCCCACGCAGTTGCCTTCTACCCAGTGATGCAGCATGGTTTGCGGCGTCTTCTTGGACTTGACGTAGGTGGCGATGCATGACGCTGGTGCCCTCTGCACGCAGCGCTCGTGGACCGTGTACTTACAGACTGGGGAGCGGAAACCACTGGGTGTCAGAACGCCTCTCCATGCGGTGACACTGTATTCTGGGGCAATCAGAGAGCCGAACGGGGCCATAGCTGGCGCCAGGGTCACCTAGCACCAGTCGGGACAGAATATCAAAAGATTGCTGAAGTTCCGAAGATGACAGTACAAGCAATGAATCAATCAAAGCGTCTCCATACAATGCACAGGCGAGCAATACAATATCTTCAGCACCACGTTCAGTACTCACATACGCAGCAGAGACCCTTTTTGCCGAGTCCCATGAGCATTGTGAGACAGAGATTGCAGTAGGCCGGCCGGTTGAAGTGCTTCAGCCGCCACAGGTGGTTGCCGTCGTCCTTCACGTTCTGTGTAGAAAACAGGTGGTATTCGTGTCGGGCACGTACACAGGTGCTCTCGGGGGAGGCTGGTCGGCGGCCAACAGACATTCCTTCGCCCCCGCGCCCCTCCCGGCCGGTGGCGGCCTCGGGAATGTCGGAGGCGGCGGATTTTACACAGAGTGTCAGACAGGGCAGACGGCAAAGTGGGTGGTGCAGGACGCGGAACAGGTGTCTCAGGGAGGGGAGCAAGCACGTGACATTTAGAACTGGCCGCGGCAACGTTCAGAGGGAGAAAATTGCATAATTATTATTTATTACCAAACAAACATCGGAACCAAGCAGTCTAACTGTTATCACCACACAAGTACCAACAAATTGAGAAGGTAATCTCTTATAAGAAATATAATGCTAGCTGCTTGCTTTAAATGACGCATGACGCGATGAAACAAAAATGTAATAGCTCTACATATATCTACAATCACAAACAGTAAAATTGAAAACTACATCAAGCCTCCACTGAACAAAAACACTGAGTAATTACCATATCTTACCAATATGAATGGCATTACAGCTATATCAGAATGCATACTAAGGGCCGGCCGCCGGGACAATGCTAAAACATCGCTGGACGCAAGTTGTTTGTTACAAAAAAAGGAAAAAAGAAAAACGCCTTCACTGCACGCCACAGTAATATAAAAATGCGTACTCTCACGAGCTGGTCCATGCCCCATTTCCAAAGACAAAATAAAAACTCGGCCAAGCATGGATAAATTTTGTTGATAATTTCCTTCTTTAACTTGAATCTGTTCTGTTTCTCCGTCTCTGCTAATACCCCTCTACTCACGGCATCCAGTCCGAGCAGAACCAGTAGCGGTATGGTGGTCATGCCGCCCCTCATCCACTCGTCCAGCGACACAGTTCCATCGCCGTCGTAATCTATCTCTACCATCATATCTTGCAGAATCTGCCAACAGATTTGGTGAGGAGTCAGTACCAACCAATGCAGCCTTCAGCTGAGCCTTAGATATGCAGTGGTACATGCATCAATTCAAAACAAGTGATTCAGAGATGTTTGATACAAAGCATACGCATCAATTTCCTCAAATTCTGCTGACATCTGTTATAAGGACGAAATGAACTTTTAGAGAAAGACTGAAAGACAAAAAAAAAACAATTATCTAAGGCAATATATAAAAAGACCAGACCCCGCCAATCTAGGAAGCAAGATTGGGTTCGTAACTTACCGGCTTTAGTTCGGACACATCCCAGCCAAGGTATTCGGCAACCGCCATCATTTGGTTGACGATGCTATCCATCTCCTGAAGACAGCAACAATAAAAGAATGATGCTGTCATTGTTATTAAGTTGACGATGTAATAATCTCCTTCAGTTGCAATTCTCTTTCAACGAATTCCTTTCGGTTCAGCGATATGTCGATCAAGGAAGCTGACGAAACAAATAATAAAAGAAAGTCTGATCCCACCACATAATAAGCCATGGATACATTCGGTACAAGCGAAAAAAAAAAAAACACGTGGTAATACTTACATAGGTATCGAGTACGCCATTTCCATCACTATCATAGAGCCGAAACATGACTGTGGGAAACAGAGATGCACCATAATTGTCACCTGAACTTTTACGTCACTGAGATAACAAGACATTAAAGGGACCCTCCCACAGGGGCGTAGGCAGGGGGGGGCCACTGGGCCATGGCCCCCCCCCCTTGGGCGCCGAAGGCGCCCTTTGCGATTGGAGGGCGCCGAAGGCGCCCTCCAATCGCAAATGCAATTGTGATATAATCGAATCGAAAAACAATCGCGACTGGAGGGCGCCCTCCAATCGCGAATGTGTTTACAGGGAAAATACGGATGGAGGGCGCCCTCGGAGGACGCCCATTCCAAATACGCCCTCCAAATACGGTTGGAGGGCTCCCTCGGGCGCCCTCCAACCACATTTGTAGGCTGTAGCTCTCTAAGCGTAACGGTGGTCGCCTATGTAAGCCGCTGTCCTGTAAATAAGCGCCCTCTCACCCGAAGGCGCCCTCCTGTAGGTCGCCACCCTGCTACACATTGCCGCCCTTCTGCTGATCGGCGTCCTCATACTTATTGGCGCTCTTCTACCTATTGCGCCCTCATGTGAAATTTTGAAGGCCGCCTTTCTCCCTTTTGGCACCCTCTTGTTCAGTGCCGCCCTCCTACCTATTGGTTCCCTAGTCCTTCCTGTTGAATGCTAATCGGGGCCCTTCTCCTTTTGGCGCCCTCGTGTTGATCGCCGCCCTCCTAACCACTGGCACCCTCCTGTTGATCACCGCCCTCCTATCTACTGGCACCTTCCTGTTGACCAGCGCCCTCCGCACAGACGCCGTCCTGTTCGTGTCATCCTCTTGAGCAAAGGCGCCCTCCTCACCATTGCCACCCCCATTTTAATCGTCACCCTTCCGCTCATTGGCGACTTGCAGTTGATGACCGCCCTCCACCTATTGGCGACCTCTTGTTGATCGCCACCCTCCTATTGGTGCTCTCCTGTTCCTCGCCACCCTCTTACCTGGTGGCGCCCTCCTGTTGATTGTTGATCGGGGCCCTCCTACCTATTGGTGCCCTCCTGTTGATCGCTGCCCTTCTATCCATTGGCGCCCTCCTGCTGCTCGCCAACTTCCTACCTATCGGTGCCCTACTGTCGAAACTCGGGATGTTGATCGGGGCTCTTCTACCTATTAGCGCCCTCCTGTGGATCGCAGCCCTTCTACCTATTGGCAACATCCGTTGATCGCTGCCCTCCTATCATTTATTTACTCCTTTGGCATGTTCTTCAACTTAGTCGTTCTATTGCACATAGTTGATGTCTTGCCTGTGAAAACTGCCACAAATGAACGTGCATTCAGCACAATGAATGAAGTACCTATACCTACCAAAACTATCTACGCTCTACGATGCATAAAACACGTCTTTGGTCTTAACGGATTGATCCTACTTTACGTGCATCATGGCATCTATATGCATTACGATTAAGTATTGTCAACAGGTTCGGCCGCAACAGCAGGCATCTGAAGTTTCGGTGATTGAAACTGGTTATGTGGGTACACTGTATGCACCTGTGAGAAGGCTATGAAGGCTGGTCTGAGGTAATTTGGATGATGTTTACGCATCTCGCGCTCCGGTATCAATCCGATACGGTGATCTGGTGCGTAGATATGCCACCGCCAATAAACTTTTATACATCGACACCCATGAGCCAAGCTTTCTATACAGTTTGTGTGGCAGCGGCCCGACCAAACCTTAGGTATTTTTTATACCTTCAAATTTGGTAAAAGAGCGAGAGGAGCTTTGAACACTGATCGTATAAAAGGCGTGCCTAAAAAGCGGAGGAAAAGGTTGTTTTCAAAAATTTCGCGCGCCTTCGGCGCAGCATTTCAAGACCACTTGACCTTTTGTGACCTGGAGTATAAAGAATACACACGATGCAAAATCAATGCAGCACGACCTATACGAGGTTACGCAAAAAAAAAACTGGTGGCATGGTAAAAAACGCCTCCCAACCCCCCCCCCCCCGTTGAGTGATTTTTTATCTCGCGACCGTATGGCGCCCTCCTTGGGTGAGGTGGCGCCCTCCAAACCCTTGGCCCCCCCCTTCGCGATTTTCTAAATACGCCGCTGCCCTCCCACCTTCAAAAAAGTTAATGAATTGGCACGAAAGTGATGTCGCTCGATTCAGAAAGAGCGAAAACGAATATCTACCAAATTTCATCGAAAAATATTCACCGGTTTTCAAGATATTAGACTTTTACTTTTGTTTACTTTTTGGGATCTCCGCTGTTCCTAGCGACTTTATTTGAAAGTGCGGCATTTGTTGCGCGCAAAGCAGCATATACCACCGCGTGCTACCAAACGTTTTAGTAAAAGATTTTAAAATCGTTAGATCTCCGCTGACGTCACAAATTCTAAGGGGGCATACCAATGCACTAGCCCCTTAGAATCCGAAAACTGCAAGTTTGAAATTCCATATCTCCGAATTAAAGCATTTGTCGATGTTGTGAGTGCCCAAACCGGTATTTGCAGGCCATGGCCACCAATTTGGCTATCTCAACTCAAAACTAATGTTAAGGTGGGAGTGTCCCTTTAAACGGCTTATTTGTTTTTAACTTAGAACAGCAATCTAAGCACATATCAGCTGTTTATGGGTGGCTGTTTTGCTGCTGCTGAAAACTTGGCAAAACAAATAATGAAAGCCTTACGACTGGGCATGCAAAGAGATGTGCCTACAGATCTTAGGCACTCAGCTTTTGTCAACAAGCTGAAAACTGACATGTTACAATCTAGTAGGTAGCAGTAGGTAGCAGTAAAGTTTAGTAGGTAGGTAGCAGTAAAGAGCGAGCTTGAGAACCAGATTGATCTATTGATAATTCCTTCACGATCCCCCCCCCCCCCCGGATAAACTGCCGAAGCGTGCGAGCACTGAAAGCCCCTCTGCAGCTCTTTGAAGTGGTGGAATGTCAGATAGCTGTTAGTACTTACATTCTAGTTTATCTTCTGGTCGTCCTCCCTCCAGAAGAGACAGGTAGCACACAATATCTTTTACTTGGACCCGCACATTTTGAATATCAATAGCACTGCACTTTCTGATCACTTTTTTATCTGCAAAAGAACGAGACATTAGTTAAAGAAATGACTCTCCACATTAGGTGGTATGTAGGGGAGAGTGGGGCAAAGCGGCCACCCGGGGCAAAGCGGCCACCCATCGTTTTAGCCCTTCATAGCTGGCGTCAGTTCCAATTTATGGTTTCCAATTATACTTCTCTTCACGGTCGTTCGAATGAGCCAGACCGGGGTTTCAAGCCCATCACCATTGTTCTGTAAAACACGGAAAAGCATTTCTTGCCAGGTTAGCAACTATGTTTACAATTTTTAAATGTTATGTTATTCCATAACCATTTGGAATTTTTATAAGCGTCCTTGTCCATGCATTGCATGGTTATCGTACATGTATTTTACCAATTTTAATGTTTTTTACCCCACTAATAGCTAAGCTGGAATATGTTTGTCTCGGACGGTATGCGCGGGGCAAAGTGGCCGGGGCAAAGTGGCCACCCGCCAATTGGCCATAAGTTGCTTCCATCTGGATAAAAAACATTATTTATATTCAAATGTGTCGTCATGCATTCATCTTGGCCACTTTTCAGTTGCATGAGTTACCAAATAATGCAATTAAATGTTTTTTTTTTTTCATGAAAATCCTTTCTTTGTTTACCTACAGGTGGAAGATGATAAAGTAAACATCCACCCTCGCTTAACCTTGTCACCATCAAATACCCTAGTCGTACACGAGGCAACTATTTTGCTTCTCATATCGGGACTTGAGAAGACGCCGGTGGCCGCTTTGCCCCAGGGTATGGGGCAAAGTGGCCAATATGCATAGGTTTAAAGTTTTGTCAATATCTTTCATGTGTGAACGCCTTTGGAAATAAAACGCAGTTGAAATAAAAGGCAACTGAATAGGGATTACATTGGTATAGAAAGATTCTTTCCAAGTTTAAAAATCAAGCGTTGGCATCGTGAGAAGCGTTAGGGTGGCCGCTTTGCCCCACTCTCCCCTATGTACAAACATAGGTCTAGGCTTCACATTCAACGGCCGCCTGTAACATCTGTTCGCCAGAGCGTTATTCCACCTGTCACTTGTGCTTGCTCCCTGATGAGTGACTCATCCACCCGCGGCACCACTTCCAAGCCCCATTCCCATCCTTCTTCTGACCGAGGTCTGTCTCAACCTGTATCATGCGCCTGGCAGCAACCTATTCCATTGTGACAGTTCCCTATCCGCAACCTACCTGTGCCGGCACCTGTCTCCTGTTCACTACGTTCATCCACAGTCCATACTTCCATTCCCTTGTCCGCTACCCACCTCCACATCCACGTCAACCTACCCCTTCCACCACGTCCCCCCCCCCCACAGCCCACACACACACACCTTTCCCTGTCCGGTACCCACCTCCGCCGGCCGGGTTGACCAGCAGCGAGTTGTTGGACTTCCTGGACGAGTTGCGCGACACCTGGCTGTGCGACGGTGACGAGTCGCTGCTGCGCTCCGTCACTCCCGGAGAGGTGACGGTGAACATGGGGTGCACAGAGGCGCCCAGGCTGCCCGTGCGGGTCCGCTGCGACGGCTCGGCGGACTCCGAGGAGCGGTGGTGGGTCAGGCCGTGCTGCAGCCGACCCGTCAGGCCGTGCAGACGCTCCGCCAGGCTGGTCGGCTTGTCCTCCTGCCGGGGACGGCGGGAAGAGGGCGTCAGACGCCTCCGGGCTCCGGGGTACTTACCGGTCCGATCACCGCGAGACCAGCAGGACGTGAGAGCCGAGAGGCTGACGAAGCTTTGAGAGCGTTGAATACTGAAAACGTGCATGTGGAAAAGGTGAAAAAAAAATATTGGAAAAGGTGAAGGTGATTCATGGTCATGAAATGCACAGATCGGTTCAACAATGACGGGGCATTCAAATATCGAGTAGTTATCCAGCCCACCTTTTCGCTGACGGAGTTTGTTTGCGCCAGGTTCGTCACGGAGCCGGTCTGATTGTGCGCCGTGATCGCCGCGCAGGCAGTGGCCGAACTGAGCACGGCCATCTCCTGCAGAATGACAATGACGTCAGACATTAGATTGTTGTAAGCACTGCAAAACTGGCTAACGGAATCGTGGTGCATGACGAAGAACCGCATCACTTTGAAACATATAGCACGCCGTGCAGATAGTAGCTGCCACCGCAAACAGGAGACAATGATCTTTGGTGACGTCAAATGCGCATTGCAAGTGGATTTTAGGATATTTATAAATTCAGATGAGATAACGATAACCAAAGCAAAACATTTAGACGCAGCACACAAAACGACAGCAGTTTAAACAAAAAATCGATGTTTTCGGGTCCGCCGTCTGGGTGTTCCGTGGCCGGCTGTCTTGGCGTTTCGGGGCACGTTCGACCACAAACGCGTCCCGCGGGGAAATGGGTGGATTCGAGCCAACCCAAACAGGCCGACCTCGCACGTGGCGCGGACATCACCGGAGCACCACGCACCGCTCACGCTGGCCGCCCGCCAAAACGTCTCATTAGTGGTTCCGGCGCCGCCGACCCGCGTCCATGGGTCCGGTTCGGGCCGACCGCGCAGGAAAACACACCCGGTGCAGGGTTATCAAAGAGCAAACAAAATGAGGGAATTTCATTTCGACGGGGTCTGATGCTACCAACCCATAGCTATTTTCCTAAGCACCCATCACTGTATATTTAGAAATGGAATTGAAAAATATGAATTTTAGAAATCAAATGTTTTCGATGTTGAGGCCAACAGAACATAAAGGAACAAGGTCGTGGACCCACAATCGTCGAGCTAGATATCCACATGATGGCGGCTCCATGGTGTATGGGTGTCGGTGCGGCGGGGGCGTGGGTGTCTGTGCGGCGAGAAGTTTGTGTCGATGTGGGGGAGGCGTGGCGCGAGAACACCATCAGCGGCGGTCCGTGGCGCTGCGGCGCGGTGCTGCGGCGCGCCGGGCCAGCTCTGCATGACCTGCCCCGCGGCGGCGACCCATTCCGTTTTCCGCGTCATTAGACTCGCGCGTGGGGTCCGCGGGGGTCGGACAGGCCGCACCGGCGCCTCCACCGCCGTCCGACAGACCCCAACGCCCCACGAATAGCGCTCATTCATATTCGCGGCGCAAACATTAGCTGACGGCAAAACAATGGGGCGGGGTGGCCGGAGGCGGACGGAACGTTGCGGCTGCACTGTGCGAAGGATCGTCGTGGCATCGAGGACAGTAAGTCGCCATTGACGAGAGCGGTCAGTTTAAACGATTGTCCCGTCAGTACCTAACCCACTAGCCAGATGTCCCGTCAGCAACCCACCAGCAGACTGTCCCGTCACTAACCTACCGACTGCCTGTCCCAGTCATCAACTCACAAGTGCCCCGCGCAACCCTTTGGCCGATTCCTGCAGTTAACACACCCTCTTCATGGGTCTTCCCACAACAGAGCTCAGTCCCAATGTTTGTGGAAAATTTACAGACGGGTCCATTGGCCAAACGTTTTGTAAACGCTGGAATAATGGTGCCATTCCTCTAAAAGAGGCGCCCGCCATGGCTTTGGCTGATATTTGCAGGGGCGGATCCAAGGGGGGGTCACATGGGTCATGGCCCCCCCTTGAGGCCCGGGGGCCCAAAGACCTTCCAGGGGCACCACCGGCCTATCAGGGGTATCACAGTCCTGACAGGGGCACCACAGGACCGCCAGGGGCACCACAGGCCTAGCAGGGACACCACGGGCCTGGTGCCCCTGGGCCCTGACAGGACTGTAACGCCCCTGACAAGCCTGAAGTGTCCCCGGCAGGCACGTGGTGCCCCTGACAGGCCTGAGGCGCCCCTGCAAGGCCGGTGGTGCCCCTGGCAGGCCTGTGGTGTCCATGGCAGGCCTGTGGTGCCCTTGCTAGGCCTCTGGTGCCCCTGACAGGCTTGTAATGCCCCTGGAAGGACTGTGGTGCCCCTGGGCCCTGACAAGTCTGAGGTGCCCCTGACAGGCCAGAGGTGCCTTTGCTAGGCCTGCGGTGCCCCTGGCAGGCCTCTGGTGCCCCTGACAGGCTTGCGGTGCCCTTGGAAGGACTGTGGTGTCCCTGGGCCCCGACAAGCCTGAGGTGCCCCTGGCAGGCCCGTGGTGCCCTTGTTAGGCCTGTGGTGCCCCTGGCAGGCCTCTGGTGCCCTTGCTAGGCCGCTGGTGCCCCTGGCAGGCCTCTGGTGCCCTTGCTAGGCCGCTGGTGCCCCTGGCAGGCCTCTGGTGCCCCTGCGCCCGGAGAGGACTGGTGCCCCTGAAAAGTCTGAAGTGCCCCTCGGCAGGCCCGTCGTGCCCCTGACAGGCCCAAGGTGCCCCTGCGAGGCCGGTGGTGCCCCTGGCAGGCCTCTGGTGCCCCTGGCAGGTCTGTGGTGCCCCTGGCAGGTCTGTGGCGCCCCTGGCAGACCTGTGTTGACTGGTGCCCCTGCTAGGTCGCTGGTGCCCCTCACAGACCTGTGGTGCCGCTGGGCCTTGACAAGCCTGAGATGCCTGGCTATGACAGGCTCGTGGTGCCCCTGATAGACCAGTGGTGCCCTTGCTAGGCCTGTAGTGCCCCTGGCAGGCCTTTGGTGCCCCTGCTACCCCTGCGCCCTGAGAGGACTATGGTGCCCCTGAAAAGCCTGAAGTGCCTCTCGACAGGCCCGTGGTGCCCCTGGGTCCTGACAGGCCCAAGTTACCCCTGCGAGGTCGGTGGTGCTCCTGGCAGGCCTCTGGTGCCCCTGGCAGGTCTGTGGTGCCCCTGGCAGGCCTGTGTTGACTGGTGCCCCTGCTAGGCCGCTGGTGCCCCTCACAGGCCTGCGGTGCCCCTGGAAGGACTGTGGTGCCCCTGCCCCTAGGGGTGCTCATGGGCCCAACAGGCCCGTTGTGCCCCTGACAGGCCTGTCGTGTATACTTGCTAGACCTGTGGTGCCCCTGCTTCCTGGCAGGCCTGTGGTGCCCCTGGCGGGCCTGTGGCGCCCCTACAAGGCCGTAGGTGCCCCTGACAGGTTTGTGGTGTCCCTGGAAGGACTTTGGTGCCCCTGACAAGCCTGAAGTGTCAAGGACAGACCCTTTAGACGCCAGGGTCAAGTTCGTCGGACTGACAACGATTTGCTTACCTGATAACGTTCCTGGTAAGTGGTAAGTACTCATTATTCAGCGTCCACAACATATATACACATAGCACATTCATATATACTTGCTTACAATTGGTAAATGTGGTTGTGGCTAAGAGGTAAGATACTGACTAAAAATAAAAAATAAAAATAAAAAACAGAAAATGGGGGCACCACCAAAATGAAGTGGACGAAATCCGTTGAGTTTTTAATTTTGGGTATAGGTAGGGGCACCACTTCGATTCATGACCCTCCCCTTGGAGTTTTCCTGGATCCGCCCCTGGATATTTGACACACAAGGAATCAACTTCACACTGAGCCGTTGGTTTGAGTTTGAGCCTAATGCTCCTAAATATTGTGAGCTAGTTGCCAATTATTTGAAATAGAAACGTAAAAAATGTACACTTGATCTCTGGATGTGCAATGCATTGTGCAACGTGCTGCGATAACACGGTGACACGGTAACGGTGACGGCGGGTGAGACACACACCTTGATGGCGCTCCGGGACGGTCGGCGAACGAAGCTGAGGAACAGGTGGCGGCACAGCTCCTCCGGTGTCTCTTGCTCCAGAAACGTGTCCATAAACACCTTGAAGCCTTCGACGTCGATGTCCTGAAAATGACGAGCGTTTTAATATAATATGCAGGTTTCCTTGTGTTTCTCGGATACCGATATTATCACATGAGAATACACTTCTTATCAATAGAGTCTGGGATATTTTATGCATGAATCAGACGGTCATTGAACTGAGCGACGTCCTTCCAAGTTCCACCGTCCTGGTGGTTGGACAAAGGTTCACACCGTCTGGCTGACAATTGTACATTCTATACTTATCCACTATCCAGTCCCGCTGCAGTATTTGGACAGCGAGCTGTCCTTTCAACTTACCCCGTCCGGCTGGTACTTGGACAGGGGGCCGTCCTTGCCGAATTCCTCCAGGACATCCTTTAGTTTTTTGGACGAGTCTGCAGCGAAAACAAAAATGAAGATCAGTTGTACATCACACAACCAACATTCCACTTCCAATTTTCATTGATAACCGAACTTATTGCAATCAACCCTGAAAGCGCGTGCCGCGTGGTGGCCAAGCCGCGCCCTGCACTCCATTCAGCGCTCCGTCCGTCTGTCTACCCCTCGCCCGCGGCCGACCGGCCGGTCAAGGTCAGCTGAAGGACTTTGTCCCCTAGGCAGTAGACTGGCCCGCTGTTGCTAAGCGGCGGACAGCAGCCGGCGATCGCCGACTCGGGGGCGGGACAACCGGCGATATCCTATTAGCATACATTTTCAAAGGTGATCAATTACATGTAGGAACATACTCGGCACAGTCTGACGTGCGACCATTAGAAATGCATTTGCAAACTGAGATGTGTTTTATTGCCAATATGCTTGGTGAATATGCTGCGGTGGAATTGATTGATAGCGGTAAATCATTCGTGTACCAGTGACGTCACAACACGGCTTCGACGCCCAAAAATAGCCGTGCATTTTCATGATGTGTAACATTATCATTGACGGGCTCATACAGATCAGCATCTTACGATTCACGAGTGAGAGAGCTGGGCTGTTCATAGCTAATTGTGTGATCAATTGTTGGCGTTCATTTCATGGACGTCAAATGAGGAAAAGCACTCATACGAGTACGTATAACAACTATGGGTTATTCAGGATATAACATATCTGATATTCAATCTGTTTGTACGTTTTATTAATAAGGATTCTGGCTATGTTTTCAATAATGACACTTCACGTCTCTCTCACACGCAGTATAGGAAACCTACGATGCCTACAGACGAAACAACTCTGATAAAAGTCCGGATTTTCCGGTAATGATGGAGTGTATTAGGTACGTCCACATACACAAGCATCTGCTCTCCTTTGTTCCCGATCGTAATATGCGGATTGGGGAATCGATATTTCAGCCCGCACCCTGCCGAGGGAAACAAAGAGGACCAAACGGTGCCGTGTTTAGGGTTTCGATCAATACTTGGTCCAAACACAGAGCTGACGTAAAATGCCAAAAATAGGTGCACATTAGACTTCGAGATAGTTCGGGCAGAAGTGTTTGTTGATATGCCAATTATGCCTTAACGATGCTTTAAAGGTGCCGCCTTTACTGCTCGGGTTGTGTTTGGTGAAAGCTGTTGCTTGTATACATATAGTTGCATCCTTGGTATGGCAGTGACAGCTGGATGGAAAGTGACTGGCTGAAAGTTGAAAGACGACATCTCACTCACAGGTGGCCATGTCCTGGAGCTGCTGAAACTCGGCGGGGGAGAGTTTCTCCCATCGTAGCGCCATGGTGAGCCGCGGCCGAGGGGCTCCGGCTCCGCTGATGGCTTCACGGGCCCGCCTCCTGGAGCAAACCGAGCGAGACACACGCACTCAGAGCCGGCACAGCGGATGGTTAAACACATCGTCACTGTCACACACATTGGTGACAGAAACTGTATGAAAACCGCCAAGCACTAACAAACACAAACACTTCTCTGAGCTGGAAAAATGTAAAAATGTCGGCGTCTGAAGGTTTGTCCGTTAAAATAACCACATTGAAACTAAGATAACCATGCGATGAAATTCAGACTGTTTGACTGATGGAACTGGCAGTAAACCTCAGAGTGAGAGGCTCCGATACTACGAAATGGCAGTAACACAACAGTCGATTTCGTTATGCACATAGGATACCTTTCAAGCGATCAGGGAAAATGGGAAAGAAAGTAAGACATTTGTGTATGCAGTTACGAATAATTCGAACCAACTGTCTGATAAGAAAAAGAAAAGCTTGTTCATCTGCGTGAAAAATAAACAAATGAAAATGCTGAGGGAATGCTTAGGTATTAATGCGGTTGTTACGGAATTTAGTGAACGCTTCTCTTGCAGCGATTCAACGACTATTTTTTAGCAGTGGTTTAGTGTTTATACGTCCGTGGTGACGTGGCCTGAGAAATGTGATGTGGTGCGCAGGAATCGTCTGATTCAATATATACGCATTGAAATGGCTTGAGCCACGTGTCTCCAGGTCTGTGTCGGAGATTTTTCGGATTTATTTGAGAGTTGAGAGTTGAGTCAAGTTGAATTGTCAACATTTTGGTGCCGAAACTGCCCGGGAATATTTACTGAGTTGTTCTTTCCCGTTTCCAGTCTGATATCGAGTATGGCGGAGATAGAGCGCTTGAAGCGTTCGAGGAACGCCGCCCGAGGGTGGCTGAATCGTGCAGGCGAGTCCCTGAGCGCCGCGCTGACAAGCAAAGATGCAAAGCAAAGTGACGCACAGACAAGCAAAGATGTGGATCTTTTTGAACTGGAAACCATGCTTGCTCTCTTTGATAGGAGGATGTGTAACTTTGAAGCCGCGCAGACGGCTCTTGAGTCGGAACAATCTGAGGAGGACACCCTGTCCGACCAGTCTTCAGGGTCGTTGGACCAGTTGATCATGTTGAGAGCGAGGGCCATGAAACTGCTGGCAGTCCACCAAGCAGCACCAGCTTCTGGTGCTGGGATCCGAGGTGAGACCCCCAAGCTACCGAGGTTGGACCTGCCCCGTTTCTCTGGAAAACCCCAAGATTGGCCTGCATTTTGGGAGGCGTTTTGTGTCGCAGTACATGATTCGAAGTTAGCAGATGTCACAAAGCTCACCTATCTGAGAACGTTGCTGGATGGTGAGGCGAAGAGATGCGTGGAGGGGCTCGCATTGAGTAGCGAGAGTTACAAGATAACATGTGATCTTCTGCAAGAGCGGTTTGGACGCAAGGATTTAATAATATTTTCTCATGTGCAAGCTCTCCTCAACCTTGATCCTATTCCTTTGGACAAGCTCCGTGACCTAGTAGATATCCTCCTCATCCACATCAGAAGCCTGGAAGCCCTCGGCATTACAGGAGAGTCCTATGGTGTCCTTCTAAATCCTATCATCCTTTCCCGACTACCCAATGCTGTCCGCCTGGAGTGGGCCCGTGAAGCCGAGGAGAAGGAGGCTGATCTTGATCATCTCATCGGGTTCCTGACGAGGGAGGTGGAGCGGCGAGGTCGCTCTGGTGTCTACGTGGGACTGGCTGGTGCTGGAGCATCATCTTCATCTTCACGAGCCAGTGGTGCCGGCGCTTCTTCACGGGCTGGTGGTGCCGGAGTCCCCGCTCGGGCTGGCAGTGCCGGCGGTTCTTCATCTTCGAGAGGTGGGGGCAGCCACCCTGCTGTCACTAGCCGGCGCCCGTCTGTGTACACGGAGTCGCGGGGCACCGGCCCTGGTCTACCCTCCGGGGCAGCTCTGCACTCATCTGAGCTTAAGTGCTCTTTCTGCGGTAAGGGACATGTCTCTGAGAGATGTAGAGTGTTCCAGCGTCTGAATCTCCGTCAGAGATTTCAGAAGCTTCGTGAGTTGTACGCATGCTTCTCATGCCTTGAGGTGGGCCATCGGGCCACTGATTGTGGTAGGATGTGTGATCGTTGTGGAGGTAACCATCACCCATTGTTGTGCATGGGTAAGAGTGTCGGAGTGCCATCCCGTGTAGAGGTAGGTGGTGTGGAGAGGGAGCAGACAGCTGCTCTGCCTCAGTCTGACTCTAGTCAGACTCAGAGTCTCAGTGTGGTGGCTGATGCAGCCCCGGAGGGAGGGCCCCAGGGGGGTGGAGGTGCGTCACTGTCATGTGATGGAGATAAGAAGTGTTCTGTGCTCCCTGTAGCAAGGGTGCTGGTGCAGGGTCACGGGGGGAGTCTTGTTGAGGCCAACCTTCTGTTGGATTCTGGCTCAGACACTACTTACGTGAGCAGTGCGCTTGTGCGCAAGGTGCAGCCGCGTTGGTGTGGCTCCACGGAGGTGGGGTATGCAGTGTTCGGAGGAGGAAAGGTTCCCAGAGCCACCCGTGACGTGTATGAGCTGAGTGTGAGTGGTTCACATGGTTCTGTATCTGCCCCTCAGAACCTCAGAGCTGTGGCGGTTCCAGCCATATGTGCCCCCCTCGCGCGTCCACTTCTGCCGGCCTCTGTTCTGGATCAGCTTGATGGTGTAGTCCTGGCTGACCCGCTAGAGAGTGAGAGTCTGCACATCGACATTCTGGTCGGTGTTGATCAGTTCTGGCAACTGGTAAGTGGGGAGACGCGAGTACTGCGAGAGGGTATGGTGGCTCAGAGAACTGTGTTCGGCTGGGTGCTGAGCGGTCAGGTGAGTGGCGTAGATGACCACAAGGGTGGATGTCAGCTCCTGTGTCTGGGTGACATACATGAGTCGGCGCTGCGCCGTCTGTGGTCACTGGAGGGAGTAGGTGTGACGGATGTGACCACTGGTGATGAGTCTGATGTGATGACCACGTTCGAGTCCACTGTGGAACGATCAGCTGATGGTCGTTATGTGGTGAAACTGCCATGGAAGGAGGGTGCAGTTGACCTGTTGCAGGATAACCGAGCTAGTGCTGAGAAGCGGCTGACTGGTCTGGGACGTAAGCTGGAGCGGGACCCTGACCTGCGTGCCTGTTATGATGGTGCCCTGTGTGAGATGGAGGGGGCTGGGGTGATTACAGAGGTGCCTGTGGAGGAGCTGGTAACCCAGAACCCTACATTTTACCTGCCCCACCGTCCGGTAGTCAAGGAGAGCAGCACCTCTACTAAAGTCCGCCCAGTGTTCGATGCGTCCGCTCGTGGGCCTAACGGTGTCTCTTTGAACGATTGCTTGGAGGTGGGACCCTGCCTCCTGCCTAACCTGCTGGAGGTTCTCCTGCGTTTCAGGCGTTGGCCGTTCGCAGTGACCGCTGACATCACGAAAGCCTTTCTGCAGGTCGGTCTGAGTGTCGAGGATCAAGACACCCACCGTTTCCTGTGGGACTGTGACGGTCGTGTGCGTGTGATGAAGTCACAGAGGGTCATTTTTGGTGTCAGTAGTTCTCCCTTCCTCCTAAGTGCTACGATTAGACATCATTTGTCTCTGTACCCTGATTCTCCTGCCATTCGTGAAATGCGTGAGAATTTCTATGTGGATGACCTGTTGTCGGGTGCCGACAGCGTGAGTGAGGCCTCCGCGCTGCTCTCAGAGGCTCAGCGTGTGATGAGAGATGCCCACATGATGTTGACCAAGTGTCGCTCTAACAGCCCCCTGTTGTTCGACAAAGCGCAGGGTGTGTTTGGTGAGAGTGAGCATGTGAAGGTGCTCGGTGTGATCTGGAACCCGACTGATGACCTGTTCGCATTCCAGGGCGTGTCACTGCCTGACGACATTGTTCCCACAAAACGTGTCGTTCTCAGCTTTGTCGCACGCATGTTCGATCCCCTTGGATTCATCAGCCCGTTTGTGATGACTCTGAAATCTCTCTTCCAAGAGCTGTGGCAGCTGGGGTTGCACTGGGATGACCCGCTGCCGGAGTCCTGTCGTGAGACGTTCGCCAGATGGCTGAGTGGACTGGCGGTGCTGAAGGAGCTGCGTGTGCCGCGCCGCTACTCGCCGAGCGCGTGGAGGGACGGCCACGGCGCTGAGCTTCTGGCATTCAGCGATGCATCGCCCAAAGGGTATGGAGCTACCGTTTACATCCGTGTCCCTTTGGAGGATGGGTCATTTCATGTGTCGCTGGTGATGGCAAAGAGCCGTGTGGCGCCTGTTAAGAAGCTTAGTCTTCCTAGGCTAGAGCTTCTTGGCTGCCTGATCGCGGCCCGCCTGGTCGTGTTCGTGAGGAGTGCGCTCCGTCTCTCGCACAGTACTCCGTGCCTCTGTTGGACTGATTCAATGGTAGCACTGGGTTGGATCAGGGCCGATCCACGTAAGTGGAAGGAGTTTGTGGCCAACAGAGTGACTGAAATTCAGAGTCTGACGGATCCTGAACGGTGGCAGCACTGTCCGGGGGAGTGTAACCCGGCTGACCTCACCACACGCGGGGTGTCTGCTGAGGAGCTTGTGAGGTCAGAGCTGTGGCTCAGTGGGCCATCTTGGCTGTCACACTGTCACACACCTGACGTGAACCAGTCTGTCTTGGTGCAGCACGACTTGTCCGGCGTCTCTGTGAGTTCTCCCGGAGGTGACGTGTGCCCCCGTGCAGGTGACGTGTGCCCCCGTGGAGGTGACGTGTGTTCCCTTGATGGTGATGTGTACCGAGCTGGTGGTGATGTGAGCACGCCTGTGTGCTCACCAGGCGGTACCGTGCGCACGCCTGTGTGCTCGCCTGGCTGTGCTGTGTGCACGCCTGTGTGCTCGCCTGGTGGTGCTGTGTGCTCGTCCGGCGGTGCGGCGTGCTCGCCTGGCGGGGCTGTGCGCACTCCCGGCGCAGCCGTGTGCTCGCCTGGCGGTGCTGCGTGCTTGCCTGGCGGTGCTGTGTGCTCGTCCGGCGGTGCGGCGTGCTCGCCTGGCGGGGCTGTGTGCTCACCCGGCGCTGCCGTGTG